AGAGAGAGAGAGAGAGAGAGAGAGAGAGAGAGAGAGAGAGAGAGAGAGAGAGAGAGAGAGAGAGAGAGAGAGAAGCAAGCAAGGTAGATGGATAGGTGCAGAAATACATACATAAACAGGTACACCGACAGGGACGTTGATACGAACTCGCCATGGCTTGATCCGTAGACCTGACTCTGAGTGCCGGACTTATATTTTTGGGCATGTCCTTGGTACTAGGACGTTGTGTTTTTGTCCAACGAACAATTTCCATTGCTGCCCTGCTGGCGCCGACTTCTTCTAGACAAACCCCTGAGACCGGCCTAGCTCTGCTGAACACACACATCAGGGTAACATCTGGTGCTGTACTCTGTTTCAGACCATTGACTGTGAGTTGCTGCTCGTACTCTTCTCTCAGCGTGTGTGCATCGCACCAGTTGAGTACTGCATTGGAGCATGGTTGTGAGTGTGTTTGCTCCCTCTCACCCCTCAGTGAGCCCCGCACTCGTCCCAGGCGTAGGCAGGGAGGCGGGCAGAATCACACTCTGTGGCGATTGTTGGCTCTTTCTAAGTCTTCATCTTGCAGCGAGTGTGCCATTTCGCCTTCCTGTCGTCTCTTCATCGCAGGCACACAGGCATAGACCACTGGCAGGGCTTCTGTTCCTCTTCCAAAGGATCCCCTCTTCCTTTGATATATAATCAAAAGGATCAACCTTGCTTTGGCATGAATTTACGTAGTGTTTGTGCATCTGAACACATACAAGTGTAATTTGAATGACAAGAGGATGTTAGAGACACATCCGCGAATACAGGGATGTATGCAAACATATGGCGTTCCTTCTATTTTTCACTGAGCCCATTCCCTTTTTACCAGGGGGATCAACCCAGTGTCAAGTACACCACACCCGTGGCCTACAAGTAAAACGTGTAACCTGTTTTTGACATGACCACAGGGTAGCATACCTGCCGACCGGTTGGGCCGACCCTGACCGCCGACCGTATTGCAGCCGACCAGTAGGGCCGACCGGTCGGCGATCTGCACTAGTCAGAAAACAATCATCCACTGATTTTTTTTCAAATCTGAGTTGGGGGCTGTATTGTGCTTGCTGAGTACTGCCAAATCCGCTGAGAAACTTTTGGGGATGGGGGGGTTGGGGGGGGGTTGGGGGGGGGTATAGGGGGGTATAGGGGGTATTGGGAGGGGTTGGGTGCGGTTTGGGGGTGTATGGGGGTATTGGGGGCCGCTATGGGGGTGTTGGTGGGGTTATGAGGGGTTTGTACCCTTTTTTTTCCCCCCCGATGCTGACCAGTCAAGGGCCGCCGACCGTCGGGGTATGCAACACTGCATGAGCATATGTAGTACTAAGTATTTGTGCAGCTGGACACATACAAGCATGGTTTGGATAACAATGGGACGTTAGGTACATTTCCTCGAGTTCAAAAACATATGTGGATATGCAAGTGCAGGGGGTTCATTTGCTTGCTTTTTTTTTTTTTTGTTTCCCACCGGGCCCAGTACCTTTGTATTTGGGGGGATGAACTCAGTGCCTTTTTCTTGTTGCTTTATGCCACTCGGGCCACTTAGTACTACCCTTCTCAAGCAGTACCGTGCAGTCGACATAGTACTACCCAGTTCACGTAGTACAGCATAGTATCACCCGACCCGCATAGCACCATTGCCTGCATGGTGTTACCCAGTGCACAAAGCACCCAGCTGGCATAGCACCATATTAGTGCACATAGCACTCTGCCTGCATAGTAGCACCCAGTGTGCACATAGCACCCAGCTTGCATAATATCACTCGCAAAATACACAACTGACCCAGCATAGTATCACTCACCGCACATAGCACCCACGCTGTATGCCCTGACTACATAGTATCACCCTCTGCGCATAGCAACGGCTCACATCATGTCACGCAATGCAAACGGCGCCCAGCCTGCATGCTGGCACCCTCTGCACATACCGGCACATAGGGTCTGGCAAACATACTAGTACTAATGGCCAGTTGCTTGTAATTCTGTTGCGCAGTAGCAGCCAACACACATGCTAGGGACCGGCACATGTACCGGCACATAGCAACCGGCGCACGTACTAGCACAAGCAACCAGCAGCACATAATTCCGTCAAAATATGAGACATTCCTTGGCATATTTATTCAACAGCCGAAACTTTGCATCTACGTATTGGGGGGAGGAGAGTTCGCGCTGTATGTGATTGTATCAGAGATCAAAGATTTCCTCAGTATAGATGTAACATCCTAAACTTCACAGGCTCACCTATCGCGGGTGTGATTCTGTGAGAAATAACAGACATTTCCTTTCACGTATAGAGTCCACAGACGAGTCTTCACAAGTCCACGTACTGGGGGTTGGGGATGCAAGGCCCTGTTCACGCTGGGGCACGTAGCTCTGTCAAGTATCGGGCATTTCCTTTGCCTACAAGTCACAGCCAATATGTCATACTGCAACATAGTAATTCTGTCCAAAAAAAATCAGGCATTTCCCCCTTCTTTATTCCCCTCCCACCTCCCCCCCCCCCCACGAAAATGGCCCTTATGGCCTCGGCTTCTTATCCATTCTGGGGAGCGTCATTCTGGTTTTCTTTTCCACCTGCAAGTCATGAATTTACAGAACAACTCACTCACGCTTCCTCCCATCTGGTGGAAGGGGGGACCTCTGATCAGCATTGATTGCCCCTAATCGGGGGATTGACTGTGAGCTTGCCATTTTCGTATCCCCTCCTTTCCAAATCCCGCTCCCGGTCTCTGTCGAGACCTGGTTAAGCACCAGATCCAAGCTTTCCGCCAGAAGTTTCTGGGGAGCGTCAGTCTGGCTCCTTTCCATCAGCGAGTACCAAGCACGATACTTAATCCCGCTCGGCGTATCCGGCTTCTTTAACCACTAGTACCTTTGCCGCTTCAGAAATGAGAGAAAACGCCCATTCCCGAAGAATTCGGAGGCCGGGCCCGATGACGGCTGCCATTGATAAATCTAATCGGCGGCCGTTGTTTCGTTTCAGCCTCCTGAAAGGCCAAAGGCCCGTTATTCTCCGAAAAGACAAAGGTACTACCGTCTTCACCCGAATAGAACGCCCGGTCATTATTGCTGCATCTGGACCGAGAGTTGTGCCAAATACGGCTATAATGACCTGGCATTCTATTCGGGTGAAGACGGTAGTGGTTTAACAAAGTATTGATTGTCAGCTTGCCTCTCTTTTTGTGTGTTCCTCTCATCAGATGCATGTGAGCTGTGTCTGTCAGAAAGGCGAGTAAACCAGAAGTTGATAAAATGGCGGGCCCTAGTTGTGACCCCTTATTAGGGCCTGATTGTCATCCTTCGGAGCTCTCACCTGGAAGAACGATGCCCTTATTCAGCTTCGATCCCACTTCTTCCACCTGAGTGTGTTCTCCTCGACCGTGGCAATCTTGCCTTGTAGGAGCCAGCTTCTAAGAGATGTACTTCTGCTGTCTGCAAACTTGTCTGGTCTCCTTTTAGCCGCCTGTTTGACCGATATCCATCTGCAACAGGTGTCCATCTCCAGCATGGCTGTCAACTGGGCCCAAGATCACTCTTTCGCTGTGAATTTGCCGTCAATGGTATGTGCACATCTCCGTTTCCAAATGGTCCAGACCGTGACTTTCTCTCTCTGAGAAGCAGGAACCGAGTCCTTTTGCCGTCTCACAGGGAAGAGGTAATGTTGATGGACAGGAGGATGGTGGCAAGGGGTGTTGCGAGGGGTGGGGAGGCGAAAAGGGAGGACCATGGCTTCTGGATTCTCTCCCAGAACCATATTGAGTCTGGGCATGAAATTAGGTAACGGTCCTAACGGATCCCTTGCGGCACATTTTTTCTTTGTTTTTTCAAAGGTACAGCACTGGGACTTTCCAGGAGGTCACCCGTCCCTGTACTATTTTGTCCTAACAGCGCTTGGCTACTGGGTTCGGATGGGATTGGGCGCATTAGCTGTGGTATGAGTGTACTATAAAGAACTCGACAGTTTTTCAATTTACCTGTGCAGGGGCCAGGCTTCTGTTCTCTGTATCGTTCCATTTTAACAGATGTCCCGAAGGACATCTCTTTCATGTTAGTTGTGCACATAGCGCATTTGTCCAAGTTATGGGATCAGAGTGCTTGTCCGTTTCTGATGGAGCCCTTGGTCGACTGGCAATGCGGTGTATGCAAGGAGCCATTGCAGGCTACGGATCTTTGCCGGTCTTGAGACATTTCCTCTTTGTACGTCAGAATCGGTCAGATGAAAACAAACAGAAAAAAAAGTTTGACGGATTCACCTTTCTTTAAAGTAGTAGGATTGCAATGTTGTGGCAGTTCTTTCAATACTAGAATGGATTGCTTGCAAAAGTGCAACTCGTGCTGTGTTTCTGAAAGTGATAAAGAAGGCTTCCGTGCCTTGTGCCTCGCTAATTTGTCGTATTCCCGTATTTATGTGGCCTTTTTTTTTGCCGGCGCGGGTTATGCTTGTGGTGCGTATGTTGGTACTCATGATTATGTGCCGGTGGAGAAGGAACCGGACTGCTGGCCGGCCAGAATATAGAATGGATCCAGGGACCATCAGACCCTGTTTTATGTAAGGTTCCCTTTTTCTTGTTTTCGGCACAAGGATGGGTGCAGAAGGCCTCTTCTTTTTTTTTTGTGGCTGGAGGTACGTGACAGCTCCTCATGTGGGGTTGCAAGGGCTTGTATATTCCACTGACATTGCTGCAGATTGGTGAAACCCATGTGAAGGATGATTCATTGTAGCAACTTGAGAGACGCTGGCTCATTTATGGCTGTTCCCTTCGTCTGTTGTTTTGATGATGATGGGTTGATGGGTACGGGCGTGTACGCCGTCACTGCAACTATATAGTAGAAGATGGATGTCCAGCCAGGTATATAAGATGTACGCCTTTTGTTCTAAGTCACCACGATCACATCATGATGACGTTTGTCGCGTGTTTGCGGTCGAAGCTGATGGCATCCTCTCTGCTGGTGTGTGCTTGATCTTGCTAACAGCTGGCAACGATTATTAACGCACTCGAAGGGCAGCTTTTAGTGTTTCTCACCCATCATCACCGCGATCATGTGGAAGGTACGGATGAAATTTGCCTCAAAATGTCATCATACATAATCTTTGTCCTCTGTTCTGCTCTCCAGTGCCATGCTCTGCTGTGCTTTATGTCTGTGCGCCTCGGAATGGCATGCTGGACCTGGGTTGTGAGGGCCCAGTTGTGGGTCACGCTCCTCCGTTGGATCTGCATAGGTGGAATGCTGTCACTCGAACCACCGACGGACACGATGACGATCCCCTGGTTAACACATGCTAGCGATATCCCTTGACCCCTGCAAGTTGAAATTATTATTTGGGGGGGGGGTGTAATTTGGGGCTGTTGTAGTTGGGCAGCTTGGGCTTTTGATCTCACCCAGTGCTGCCAGGTAGCCACCTGTTTGGCACCGCATATCAATGGTCCTTTTCCTGGGTGGTCTCTCTTCTGATGATAATATGCAGGCTGAAAAAAGGCGCTGAATGCTGTTGCAGTGCTTCATAATAATTAACCTGCAATGCGTCCCGGGATATTAGCTGCATCCCGGAGCTGAAGTACAGGTTGGTTGGTCCAAAATCCGTGAGCAGCTAAGATCCCCCACTGGGGTGGCACCTTTTTTTTTAATGTTGTTTTTTAAGGACCTGGCTCCACTCTATTCCGTGGAGCAGGAGTCTGGCTCCGACTACACTGGAAACTTGCCGCAAGTCAAATCTACATTTGAGCACTCTGTAGGGTCGCTCTCGTTAGGGCGAGAGAGACCCTCGGCAGTATTGATTGCTCTCCTTTAGGGAGGATTGACTTCTGGGTGGGTACACCCATTCTGAACTTCAGTCCCGTGCCGTTCTAAGTGACTAACCCTCCAAAACAAGACGCACTCTTAACGCACCAGTACATTCGCGCCTCTTTTCGCCGAGGCGGATTCGCCCTGCACGCCAAGCTTTGCGGAACTGCCAGGGCAGCGCTTTTTCTTTTCTTTTGGCTGGCACTGCCAGCCATTTTGGTCCGGTAGCGCTGAGCCTCCGAATGATTCGGAATGAGCCGGTTTCATGTCTCAAGTTTGCCTGGGCCATGTACTGGTGGCTTGAAAGACGGGATCCCGGAGCCGTTCTGTCGATTCAATAAACCCTTGAATTCAAGGCGCTGTTCTGTCAAATCAGCACCTTTTTTTTCTGGTTGTTTTTTCCTGTCCTAACAATCTATAGATGCACTCTATTATTGGACATAGTTTGGAGATAGACAGAGTCTGAAGTGGCCGCAGAAAATCTTCTTGAGTTATACTGTTAACCCGATGTCCCTCGGTTCTGCTATCTCCACCTCTTCTCTGCTGGAATTGTCATCTGCTGTCTGATTCCTCTGTGTTCCTCCCCAAGGCGGGGCACTCACCCATTACCCGTTTTTTTTTTTCCCCCCCTGCAAGAAACTTTGAAAAAGTGGTCTTGTTTCCAGGATTGGCATCGCTGTGCTTCCTAAGTCACATCCAACTCTTTGCATCTCAGTCCTTTGTAGTTTATCATGGTTGGCTTTTTTTCTTCTATTTTTTTTCCGAGTCGGAGTCTCCCCCGACCCCCACCCCGAAAACAGCAGCATTGATTACTTCCTGGTTCGCTTTTTTGTGTCATGATTCATGAATGAAATAAAAATAAATTTGTTGATTGCTTCCCTAGGAAGGATTGAGGTAATCAATGCAGGGAAGCGACCAGAGCGGGTTATCTCATGTATTCATTCTGACTTGCCGTTGGGACTGATGCCCCGCAGAATGGACGAGGAGCTGGGGCCATAAGGCCCCGTTTTCCCACAAAAACAAACAAACAAAAAAGGATTGTTGGAGTGGCAGCCATGACGTGTAAAGGCTTTTCCTTTTAGTCTCGAAATGATCCGGCTTAATCTTCGTCAGCCCTTTGGCTCCACGCCATCTGCATCTTCTCTCCGTTTCCAATTAGCTGTGACCAGGCCGCTTCCTTATTGATTATCTGATCGTTCATCGCCTGGGAGTATCTTCTCGTCCAGATTGTCCATAGTGCATCGTTTCTGAGGAGTAAATGCCATGTTCTTGATGCACCTGGCAGGAAAGGGGGAAATTCTGATGATGAGCACGGAGCAGGGCTGTGGGGCTGTGAGGAGAGATGTGGGAGAAGGAGCTGTGAAGAGGGAGAACCAAAGCATCATGACCATAGAGCAGGCAATGGAGTAAATCTTCGTTGAGGTCGTTAGTACACATCACACAGGTGTGCAAACTGTTGGAGTCGGATCGTTTGCTATGTTCGCATAGCCATTGATCGACTGGAAGGGCAGTGTAATTCACTGAAAGGCTGCAGTCTTCCTCCGAACAAAACACACGTATGTCCTATTCCACTTTTCCCTGGAAAAGTCCGTTTTTCAGAGTTGCCGCCAGAAATCCAGATAGTACGCAGGTATGTTGTATTTGAATAGTGTGCACGTGTGTTCTATTCGAACAGGAGGGTGTTCTATTCAAAAAGCCGTCTTCTTCCTCTTGAGATGGTGGTCAAGCCCTTAGCATCATCGTCGTCTGCTGAATATGGTCTCCTTCTTCTTCGTATGATGATGAATCTCCCTCCTGGTTGTAGCTTTCTTCTTCAGGACGCCACCACCTTCTGCAGACATACCTGCCCTCGATCGAAGGGCAGGTTCATTCAAAGTTAGCAAAGAGTATAAGCTAAGAAAGCAGTGCGAAGACCTCCCTGGCTATCGAGTATGAGGAGGAGGAAGGAGGAGGCCTTGGCTATGGAGGTAGCGGGTGGAGCACCCACGACTTCCTGATTGGAGTCGTCAGACCTAGAGCACTAGCCGATAGAATACGAAGTCTAGTGGCACGATTTCTCGAAGTAAGGCTTAGCCTTTGGCCCTTCTTTTCAAAGACGGTGCCAGGCTATGGAGAAGGGTGAGAGAAGGGTGAAGACAATGAGGAAAGGAAGAGAGAGAGGAACCAACATGAGAGACTCGCCTGTGGCTATGGTTGACCTTCATCTTCACTTCGTTGGTTGGCGCTGCATCTAGAGGGCCCCGCTGCGGGTTCCAGTTGGTCTTGGACTCCATCCGAGAGTAAGGCTATGGCAGGATGAGCTGGGAGAGGCCTAGGAGAGATTTTGTTGTTCTTTGAATATCAGTGATTTATCATGGATTCTCCGCCGTACTGATAGTTTCAACCGAGGAGAGAGAAGTGAGGTTATGGCCAAAAAGGAGGGCTCTTTGAGTGCTGGCTTTAGGGGTGAATACTCGGACAGGATTCCTAATCATTCATTCATTCATTTGTTGTTGTATCTAATCGACTGTAAGAGGGGAAGGAGGAGTACAGGAGAAGAAGATGACAGAAAGAAAGCAGTGAGGGAGAAGATATCGGGTCCACGTGTATAGTTCTTCTTCTTCGTCTTGTTGTATTCCTTTCATTTTGTTCCGCTCCTCCTCTCTCTTCACTTCTTCTTTCGAGTTTCTGCAAGTTTTGCATTTCTCATGGTTTGAGTTTGCATTATGTTTTTCTTTTTTTCTTACATGAACACTCGCTCAAGCCCCATCTACTCTGGGGGGCAACTGTCCGGTTGCTCACAACCGGCAAACACTGCATAGAAAGTGAGAAAGACATCTCTGTATGGGGTCTAGACGCACACAGAAGGGGCCAGCCCAACTTTTGTCTGCTCGGACTCTTCTAGCTGGGAGACGCCAAGCGTACCCAGACGCTCAGGGGAAATTTGACCCACGATTGTCATCTCCTTCTGTATTAGAACGGTGCTGTTGCCACCAGAGTATTGCCGCACTTGACATCACCACCCCAACCCTACTTCTTATCACATACGGCTCACAATAGCACCCTTTTCCTTAATGGCTTATGAATGTAGCAGGATCATGACAGCTCAATGGAATGAGCTCAAATACTAAACTGTGATGGGAACTTCCGAAGTTCTGGCCGTGTGTTTGAATTCCACAGCAGCGTTCACTTACATGTCTATTCAGCAATTTGGACATCTGCCTACCTGCCAGAATGTCCCCATGCAAGTTTCCCGTGCTGTGCACTGCATGCACCTGGCCGCTTGGGTGCTCAGGTGCACTCTGACAGGGACCGGGGCTGGCATATTTTCCTTATCCTCCAAGCAACCCATAACCCCATGTCTACGGCTCCTCCTATGGCTGACAGGTAAACAAACAAAGAAAGATCCGAGCATTTTGTTTCCCGCCTGAACCATCCACACATGCTATATGGTGGCTCTAGGGAGGTCAGGACAGACAGCCTGAGGGGCCTCTTAGTAATTGAAGTCGAGATTCTTGAGAATCTGATTTTATATCAAGCGATTTGCTTTGAGCCTTTTCCAGCTGTCTGGGATTTGTGTTGAACAGCATTTTGCTGCTGGGATCCCTCTCCTTTGTCTTTGATCATGCCTGGTGTATCTTTTTTGAAAATGCAGACCGAACTGTAACTGACTACCGTCTTCCCCCAAATCGAAGGTATGGTCATTATATACTACGATTATAGCTGCATTTGGGGCAACTTTCGTGTTGAAGTAAACTTGGGGCAATTCAATCATCGCCTAATCGCAGCAGAGTGACCCGACTGCATGTCTGGAACCACAAGAGAATCACCTAGTTCCTCCTTTCTTTTTTTTAATCTAATTCTGATCTGATGTAATGAAAGAGGCTCTGCTGGATCCGTCCTCTAGATTCCCTGTGTTTCTTCCGTCACTTGTGGAGGTGGAGAGTCTGCTATTGGTGACCATGGTGGGGCAGGGGAGGGGGAGACGAGGGTGGAAGAGTAAGAGACAAGGAATGGGAGGGAGGAAGAGAGGCACCAAAAATAGTTGTCTACACAATTCAGAAGGTAGAGGAGGAAGTGCGATGGTGGCCTACAAAGGACGAAGAGGAGGGAAAGGTGGGAAGTGAAAAGGGGTGACAAGTACGATCATACTACGATGGAAAAGGAGGAAGGGGAGGAGGAAGGGAAGGAGGAGAGAGCCGCCGGAAGCAGTGGTGTTGGTGGCATGGAGAATAAGGAGGAAATGTGACGATGATCAAGAAGGGAGTGAAAATCAGGGGACAGCGGAGGAGCAGGCAGAGGAAGTCAAGCGCAACGCTGCCGAATGACAATCGATGAGGGAAAGGAGGAAGAGGACAAGGGGCAGGGTGGATGATGATGATGATGGAAATCTGGGTGCGACTGTTTGGCAGTGAGTCGGTGATCCACTGTCAGCATCTGCAAGTCACAGCCATGCAATGATCAAAGTCATGCACAATGATGCCAAGTACATGGCAAACCTTGCACATCTGGCATACTTATGCTAATCTGGTGTGGCATTGCGTGGCATGATAAAGGGAATGCCTATGTCCCTGATAATGGTAAGCATGAGTGTGATGAGAGTCTCGTGTCCCAGTGCAGAGGAGGAGGAACTGTGAAAAGGATAAAGAGGAATACAAGCAGAAGGATGAGGAGGGCATGACGAAAAAGAGCAGGGGAGGAGCTGGTGATGTAGAAGAAAACGTTGGCAGCTGCTGAGTGTGACATTGGTATACACAGCCAAGTTTTAACACGAAGAAGAAGCGTCTGAGGCTCTGAGGTCACACAACACGCATGCACATCACGGCAATTTGATGTGATGACAATGTGTGTAACGCCTGTGAGCATGAGTGCGGTGTCGGTCTGACACAGCAATCTGACAAAATATGTTTGTACTGACAATGCAGTGAGCAGAATCTGTATGTGATGACAATTCATCTGAAGATTCAGAACCTTTGTGTTGACGGTGAATTTGTGACAGCAAGAACCTATGCGGGAGGATGGTAAGCATGAGCATCATGACAGTCAAATATCATCATGCATTTATGGCAGTGACAGTTGTGAGCACAATGATAATGTGGTCTGTCGATGTTGTGATGTGACTGACAATGATAGCTACAACGGACCTGTGCAATGCGCGTGCATGCCCACACCCTCACCTGCATCTGCTAGAGTTTCAGTATCTGCAGTCTCGCAGAAGTCCCTGCGAAGGAATGCACTCGACATGGCTGTCACGTTGATGACGTTCTGGTGAACATGACGGCCAACTATGGATGTACTTCAAAAATTACGCCCTCCTGTCACTATTCTCGCTCCCTTTTCCCTCCCCCAGCCCACCTTCCCCATGGTACCCCCAATCTGTCTCTTATGTTTTCAATGTCTCCCCTATGGCACACCCATTCCCCCTCCCTCAATCCCACCTGCCGTCCCGCTACATTTTCCATCGCTCTCTGCCGTTTTTCCCATCCTGACGTCCCCCTGCCCGGCAAATCTCACCCCAACTCTTCCCTCCCCTCTCCCAGCTCAGGGCCACATGTCCTCCCGTCCTGCTGAACTGCTC